TAGGCGTTATTCCTGCAGTCATTTGCCGAACTATGGTGCCTGGACAACAAGAAGATGCTCATGAATTTTTACGCTATTTATTGGAAGGAATGGAACGCGCGTATTTGACTAGGCATAAAGCAACTAAGTTGGATAGCTATTCTAAGGAAACGACACCTATTAATCAAATATTTGGTGGATATATACGTACTGAAGTGAAGTGCCTGCAATGTCAACATGTTTCTACCACGTTTCAACACTTTCAAGTATATAAAGTTATCACTGTATAATTGTAAAGTAAATGATTTTCATGTACGTTTCTATTTATAAACATTTGTGAATTTTTAATAGGATTTGCTTGTGGATATACGGAAGGCAAATACACTGGACGAAGCATTAAATAGTTACTTCAGTAGAGAACAATTGGATAACAATGACTATAAATGTGAAGCCTGCAAGAGGAGAGTTCCTGCTACCAAACAATTTACTTTGGAGCGTCCGCCAAAAGTGTTGTGTGTACAGTTAAAACGATTTAGCTATTTAGGAGGAAAAATATCTAGACACATCGGTTTTAAACAGACTATAGATATGGGCCAATATTTGTGGAGGGAACCGGGCGAATCTCCTAAACAGCTAACTTATAAACTTATGTCAATGGTAACGCACATGGGCCCCTCTGTAAACTGCGGCCACTATACAGCGATTGCACAAGTATCGAGCGGTCAATATTATTCCTTCGACGATTCTTGCGTTCGTCCAATAAGCCTTAATAATGTATTAAGTACAAATGCGTATATTATGATTTTCGAAATGGAAAATGATAGTCAAAATCAACAAACCGCGAAAATGAATGGCACGACATCGGCAAAGAATATGCCGACTTCGCTTTCCAATTCTACAAATAAGTCTTCTATATCCAAAGCCTTGACGTCTGCTGGATGTTTTGCAAACGGATCATCAAGCGGATTACCAAATGACTTCAGTAATACGAGTAAACCAATGTTAATTGGTCCGCAACTCCCACCACAAAGAAATATAGAATTAAATCTTCCTGTACAAAAATCCAGTGAATCTATTAGTACACAATCGCCACAGAAAGCGCAGGATAAATCGCAACCAAGGTTAGTTGTGCACATTAAAAACGGAAAGGTTTTGAATGGAAACAGTTTAGTGCCCTACGACGGTTCCAGTGAGGAAGAAGATTGTTCCTCTGGGACGGGGACTTCAAAAAATCAAATATCAAATACTGTATCTCGAATTAATATCACGAACGGTGTGCCAAAATGCATTGTGAAAGATGTAGTAAAAACAGGCTCCAATTCTAAAGAGTTGCAAAAAACTAATTCCAAGAGCAATACCAACGGCATGTCAACAATGACTCAAGTTACAATTGTAGATTGTACAAAAATGCAAAATGGATCCAACAGTAACGGCCGGATAAATATGATGAAACATCAAAATGGAAAAATTGAAACAAATGGTCAGTCTGAGCAGCACGATAAAGATAAATTCCGCCAGACTATTAGAAAAAATGGACAAGAAGAAATCATATCTACGAAGGCTACAACTAGCAACGTTAAAAATTGGCAAGTCAAGGATACAACTGGTATTCTCAGTGGATCTATTAATGGATGGTCATATACTGACAATAGGTAAATTTTTTTACGAAATATAACTGTATAATAATGATAAAGCGACAGGAAAAAAAATCTATATTTGTTCCAGGGAGGATACTAAATCAAATCAAAGCTGTACGACACCGAGTGCTGCGGCTGTGCGAAATTTTAACGGTACCAATGATTCGGACACTGTTTCACAATTATTAAAAATGTCACATCGCGGATACGGCAATTCCTCAGGTTAGTATATCTATTTTATCATAAATTTAATTACAGTGAAACTTCCTTAACTTTAGTATTCTGTAACTTCTTCATTTCCTCTTCCATATATGTACATGACGTCATGTATAAAAATTTTCAGTGTTAAAATAGATTATGTTGCGTTCGCATCTGTGCAAATGTTCTCACTATATGTAATACATGCTATTTCTTTTTAATGCTCCACTCCTAATATAAGAATGGGGAGAATCTTTCTAACTTCTCACAGCCCTGCGTAGTAGAAGTTATGGAAGTTCCACTGTATAAGTTATTGTAGAAAAATCAAGAAATATATTATATTTTTTTTAATTTTCAGTAATGAATTGGAATGGCAATAGAACACAGCTCGACCGCAATGTCGATAATGACAGACGAGAGGAACGTAAACGTCATTTTAACGCTGACGATGAAGAAATAGATAAAGGCCGGACAAAGAAGATCAAGGACCACACGAATCGTCGGTCATACGAAGAGAGATCCAGTACAAGCTACAAGTCATTCCACAAATGGAATCGACCAGTTAATGGTTATCATCATCATAATCATCATCATCATCATCATCAGCAGCAGCATCATCATCATCGAAGATATTCTTATAATACTTCTTACACGCGGCCACGGCACGGAAACAATTATAGACCGCCACATTATAGACATCACTCTTATAGACATCTATAGATATCACTAATGCTCACTCTCGCTGCCATTAGCAATGTGAGCGACCGGCAAAAATGTGTAAACGGAGAACGATTTTTAGGAGCTATATCGACATTTCAGAAATCGACCTGTTTAACAGACTGTGTGATTATACACTGATTGATTTTCATTTGTAAAATATTTATCGTTTTTTAATGCAAGTGAATTTGGAAGTAAACTGTTGGATTCTGGCAGTTGATGCGTTCATTCAAATCTCATGATAACTCATTTATGGTGATTCATTAAAAAAAATAATGCATGTTCCTGATAAACTCGTCGTGGCATTTTTTGCCTCTTGCATAAGTTTGGTACACATATATATCGAATGAATCGATTCATGGGGGATGAGTATCATCAACTATACATACCATTTTGTGTTCAATATAAATTATTGTAGAAAATTATAATTTTCTTCCAAAGTAATGACCAATAAATGAGCAAAATAAGATGTTAGATTAATAATAAATTAATATATATTTGAGATTTAGCCTCAATAAAATTGTATTTACAAAATATGTTAAAACATTTCGACTCACAGAGCCTTCTTTAGTTACAATAAGAAATTCTCCTAGCATTCTAATCACAAACAGAAGTCGATGGAAACTTAATGTTATTTGTACTGCAACACAGAAGTATTGGCACACCATGTCTATAAAAAGTACCGTCAAGATGTCAAAAATTATAACTAAACCCTCATTTAACAGCGAAAATCAGGGTAAGTCCATCAGAGTGAAATTAATGATATAAAATAATCTATAGATCGAAATATATTAAAAATTGTGTAGAAAAAAAAGAATATATACAGGGTGTCCCATTTTAATATTCCACCCCAAATAACTTTATTTTTGATCTTAGAAAAAAATGTTTCAGACAAAAGTTGTATAGCTTTGAAGGGGACATAAGATGGTGTCATTAGTTTGACCTTGAAGGTCACGTGGTTACCTTCAATTTCTTAAATGGAACCTCCTACTTTTTATTGCACATTCTTGTAGATCATCTCGAGAGATTTCCATTAAGTACTTTTCGAGTTCTAAAGCTTGCAAGTTACAGCACTGCCGGCATTAGCATTACCCAAGGTGTCCGACCGACTAAAACCTTGAATGTTCAGGATCATGATCTGGATAACATTTGTCAAGATCAAGGCCATTGGAAGTTGTACCTCTTATTTTCATTTTTACATAGAAATATAATTTTTAGTGCAAAAATGAAAATAAGAGGAACAACCTCTAATTTTTAATATAATTATCAATCTAGATTATTTTGTACCATTGACTTCACTCTGATGGACTTACCATGATTCTCGTCGTTAAATGAGGATTTAGTTATAATTTTTGATATCTCGACGGTACTTTTTACGGACATGGTGTGCCAATACTTGGGTGTATTGCAATACAATTACGACGTAAGTTTCCATCGACTTTTATTGTTTGCTATTAGAATGCTAGGATAATTTCTTATTGTAACTGAAAAAGACTGTGAGTCGAAACGTTTTAATATATTTTGTGTATGCAATTTTATTGAGACTGAATCTCAAATATATATTAATTTATTATTAATCTAACATCTTATTTTGTTCGTTTATTGGTCATTACTTTTAATTTTTTTGCTGTGTCAAACAATCGAACGGTTATACATTTGTTATAATTTTTGTTTCTAATCATAACATATAAACAGCTAACAATAGTTTTAAGACAAATGTCAACATTAAAATTTCATGAGATTTTCGCAAAATAAGCTACACACCGATAAATATAAATTAAATTGAATATACAATTATTATTTAATGCAGCTTGTTAGAATGTGGACAGTTAATTTTTAGAAAAAAAATTAATATAAAATTATATAAACAAATATAAATTATATATATTTGAACAATATATATATATATATAACCTAAATTATAATTAAATCTAAATTAGTTAGAAATTCGAAATTACATATTTAGTAAATACAAAAATTAATTTGTTATTAAATTATTCCTTATCTAAAGTATCATATAAACTTCTCGCTTATTGTATTTTATTCCTCTTGTAATCAGTGATAAAATAATAAGAGAAATTTTATTGGCAATATATGGTGATAAATAACCTTGCAATATAAAGAAAGAAAAAATGAGACAAATGCTTTTATATTAAACTTCTACATGAAATTAGTTATATAGAAGCAATTTATTCTATATCTTTTTAAAAAAATGAAGTAATTATTATAAATTAATAAGTCATTCTACGAAATCGACTAGAGTTATGATAATGTTTGTTGAGGCGTTTCGAAGCAAAAGGTGCAGATTAGCAATTAGCACGTTTGATGACAGTGTCGCTCTACTTTTTGTTACTATAAATTACAATAGTACATACTATCAGTAAGCGCGAATTTAAATATGAATTTAAATATGTTTCTACTACAATTATTAAAATAATTGTGTATAATTAAATAACATAGTTATATATAATAATAATAACAATACCGAATATGTAACATGTACATTACTTATGATATAGTCCAGGAGCGCTTATAACGTTAAGAAATCGCTATTAGCGATTAAAATTTTACAAAGCTATAAGTTAATTTTTTAAGCGATCCGTGAAGAAGTCAATTCTCAATTATCTCACCCCATACGATATCTCATTACATCGGTATCGAATGAAAAAACAGGAATGTTAACGGAACGTAAAGATGTCATATCAATGAAATTAATACGCGATGTTATAAAGCGACTGCTATGCTACGCAAGCAAATCAACATCAAATTTATGTATGTACGTACTACATGTATGTATGTACACGCGAGAATACAAATGCTTTCTCATCCGAAGTTGTATCCCCGTGTGTACGAAAGGAAAACAACAATGTCGTTTATATAAGCCATAACAATCAATAAAAAGAAACAAACTGAATATATCTATCTTCTGAAAAAAAGGACTATCGCGTTTCGGATGAGATGTCGAGTTGGCCATGGAAATAAGTTTGTTTAACAGTTTGACAAGGTATACCTGAAATAATTTCTATAAAAAATCATGACAACCGACGATATATCGACTCACGACATTGTACAAATTCTCGAAAAGAATGTGAGTTAATATATAAACATCGGAACATTAATACGTTTCCTTTTTAAGCGTTTCAAAATTATGTGCAGTCAAACGAATTTTACACATACGATTGATACATTTTTTTATACAGGTGAACATTCTCAAGTCGGAAGGTCACGGTCCAGACGTAGCTCTTGAATTTCATGACAAGTTCGAGTTGTTTCGTAAACTGTTGTGCAATTTTACAGATAAACTCCAGTCGTTATTATATTTATCTGAGAACTACACCTCCACGAGCGACTTTAAGCAATTTATAAACAGGATTGTTGGTTCATGGAACTCTATTAATGAGCAGGTAAAGCTTCTATATTTTACATTTATGGATTTTTTGTATAAATATTTACAGGATTAGCATATGAATTATACAGGTCTGTAAAAAATGTTCCAAGATACAAGTGGGTAGTCGTACACTATCGGGAATACCGTTATCATTGCTCCTTGAAAAGATAAAAAGAGAGAAATCTTTAACAAGGGAGTTGTTGCACACCCATGAGACCAAATACAGTCGTGAATATCTCGCGAAATGTTATGTTTTGTTAAATGAAACTGAAAATTTATTATGTAATCTCGAAAAATCTGATGATAAGGCACGTATCTACTGCTTTTAACATTTAATATATCATTATATATTATAAGAAAAGTGTGCAAAATATGTACAGGCTTACAGAACCTTCTATAAGCAAAATTATATTATTGATCCTTTTTGATTTGCAGTTACGACAATATATAGCTATACTGAAGTTGAATCCATTCCTTGTTAAACTAGAATCTGATGTAGACACATATGTCTCAAATATTAACATATCACCAATCGACAAATCTAAATGTCCAAAACTGGATGTTTTTCCAATTGTCGCAAAACTTCTCACCGGTGAGTTACTTGATGACGAACCTATAGACCCGTGTTGCGTTTTAGCAGATAATGTGCCTAGGAAACCAGTTTTCATTATTAAAATAAAACACAAAATGGATCCATCAATGATAGCCGAGGAAACAATATAAATATATGAAGTTACATGTTATAATGGAAGAGAATAATATAATGTTATATAAACAATATATATAATAAATGTATTTCAATAATTTATATTTGGCAACGTATCATAAACATTAATGCGCATCAAACAAATCAAATCTCAAGGAATAGAGCTTAATCTCTTGCTCTGGTACTAGACAATATGTGGATTATCCGTAATATATGTATAGTACATTGTACACGTTCATTTTGGTATCTTAAAAATACTACATACCGCCTACAAACGCGATCATTATTCTTGATAGTCGAAGACTAGATTTAAAAGATACCCTCAAGATCAGGAATAGAACAGGATGGGGCCAGTCTTAATACAAGGTCTTTGTGATGTAAAAATTCTGGCGGAAGAAGTTGTTTCTTTCTCTATAAAACAGAAATAAACAAAATAGTATTCCTGTAGTATACGAAATAAAAGGTAACAAGAAGATACATTGCTGTTACAACTAACCAGTGGTGGCTGCGCAATACTATGCGCAACGTTGGTAGCGATGGGCGCCCATCCTTTTATATTCAAGCATTTGTAACACGACTTAGGCTCGCCCAGACATGTCAAATGGTACCCATGACCACAGCCAAATACCACCACGTGATCAGAACAATGCGACAATGGCTGTCTGCACACGGGGCAAGTTATAGAAACGTTGCCGCATGCTCTACCAGCATCCCTGAATGATAGAAAAATCGCTGTATATAATAGATATATGTATATAACATTTCAGCAAAAGTCTGTTTCACGATGAACCTCTTTGATTTTGCATGCTTTTCATCGCTCAATTTAGATGAAATCTTCCCTTTTGTTTTATTATTATCAAGAAAATCTTGCATCTTGAACTATTCGATGAAGTTCATCGTGAGGCTTTGCGGACTTCGCACTTTATTAAAGCTCCAATTCACTCATCACTACTACTTAGATTATGTCGGAAGCGAGAAAATACACAATCAAAATTTTTGCACAATATACTAATATGAAAATATGTTTCAAAATTTAAAACGATAGAACCAATTTGTAAAATACTGAAAACTTTCTTTTTGTTTCATTAATCATTAAATAGCCATATATCTAGAAATTAATTATGCATGTGTATATACAGGGTATTTGGAAAATAATGATAAATCTTTCGCATAGAGGCAGAATGGACTAAACTAAGAAGAAAAGTCCTTTACCATTTTGCAATTTTTTAAAAAATTATTGAAGACCAATTTTCGGCAATTTTTAGCAATTAATATCTTGTTAACTATATATGAAAATTGCAAAATGGTAGAAGACTTTTCTTCTCAGTTTAGTCCATTCTGTCCCTATGCGAAAGATTTAT